GAGGATCAGGCCCCAGCTAAAAACTCTAAGAAATACACAGTATCCAATGTATTTCACTGCGTTTTTTAATGAACATGCCTGAGTAAAATATGTACATACTACTCATAATTTTATTAAAAATGTAATCCTTAGAATGGTTGTCGATGTATAAACACATAACTTTCTGATGATACTAATGCTTAGCAGTCTGCTAGCGGAAGACAAACCTAAGGTTTAGTTTCACATATTAGCACAGGTATTGCTGAGATCGCTTTTTCAGCTTGAGCACGTAGCGAATATTGGCACTAAATCCACGTAATTATGTCAATACAAGCAGCGTTGGGTTAGGTGGATTCAATATATCACTATCGTAACTTTTTCCCTAGATCGTATATATAGCTATATGATCTAGGGAGAATCGAGCAGACAGCACAGCAGTGAAGGGGCATTGCCAAAGACGTGTGAAAATTAAAAATTGTAATATTATAACACAAGTGCCTATCACTTAATGACCCGGGGCGCTAACTGTTCTCTCTATTAAATAATAAAGTATTAATTATTAACACAAGCGCCTATCACCCGATGTCCCGGGGCGCTTACTGNTATATTATGGATTAGTAACACAAGGACCTGTCACCCAATGACCCAGGATGCTTCCTTGCCACTGTATAAAATAATAAAAGGTTAATTTATAACCCAAGGGCCTATCACCAAGTGATCCAGGGTGCTCACTGGTCGCTTTATTAAACGATATATATTATTAATTTATAGCACAAGCACTTGTCACCCGATGACCCAGGGTGCTTACTGGCCTCTCTATTAAATAATAAAATATTAATTAACAGCATAAGCACCTATTACCTGATGACCGTTGTGCTATTAATTAATAATATATGTATCGTTAAATAAAGCGACCAGTAAGCGCCCCGGGTCATCGGTCATCGGGTGATTGGCGCTTGTGTTAATAATTAATACTTTATTATTTAACAGTGTGGCCAGTAAGCATCCCGGGTCATCGGGTGATAGGCGCTTGTGCTATTAATGAATACTTTGTTATATAATAGAGAGGCAAGTTAGCACCCCGGGTCATTGGGTGATAGGCACTTGTGTTATTAATATTACAATTTTTAATTTCCGCGTGTCTTTGGCAATGCCCTTTCACTGCTGTGCTGTCTGCTCGATGGAACATTCTTCCTAGATCGTATATATAGCTATACGATCTAGGGAGAAAGTTCCGATATTGAATCCGCCTAACCCAACGCTGGAATATAAGGGCTCGGGCACATAGAACCACGTAAAGCGTAAAGTGTATCGCGTATCGCTTATCGCGTAAAATTGTAGGATCAGGGAAAGTTAGGTAAGGTACGCTTTACGCGAAAAAATTTGTCATCGCGCACATGGGAGTAAAAAATACGCGCGTAAGTGTTTTAAACCAATCACAGCAAATATTTCGTTGGCTTTGCATATGCTATCTCGCTTGCACTCATGGCAAAAACAAAGTTACGCCCGTATTTTTGTACCCATGAGCGCGATGACAAATTTTTCATCGTACAGCGTAAATAAAGTATGCAAGCTGCAAATACAGTCAGCAGCTAATGTCATCAACAACAATTACAGTATCAATTGTGTAATTAATCGAATTTCTGACATGGCTGTAAAATAAATCGCAAGAACTTTGGGTAAATTGTGGAAAGTCTATACGACCTATGCAATGACCCAATATCGCAAAGAAAAAGTGAGAAGTGTAACAATTAAGCTGTATGAAATGTATTAATGGCTCTCAAATAAAAAGAAAAAAAGAAGTATATTCTTGAAAACTTTTTTTTGACATGTACGCAGGTTAGAATTCACTTGCGTTGAGAACTTTTTTGTTGACAAGACAGCAGATTGGTCAACTCCCCTATACTTCACACTTACACGATACGCGAGGCTTTTACGCCTTTTCTATGTGACTATAAAGTGGCGTATACCTAACCTTCTTTACTTTTACGCGATACGCGACGCTTTACGCTTTACGTGGTTCCATGTGCCCGAGCCCTAAGGTAAGGGATTTTAAGGCTTACGCAGTCAAATTGACATAAGGTGCACAGTGCACAAGAATAACGTTGGTTGATATACCTATATACATAATGCACAACGCGTTGTGCTTTACGTTTTTACAGATATAGATATACCAACCAATGTTATTCTTGTGCACTGTGCACTGTGCACCTTATGTTAATTTGACTGCGTAGGCCTTTAGTCAAAAAATACCACTTCTTAAACTGAAGTACTCTCACGTAAAATAAAGTTCAGCCACGTTATTACGTATCCATAAGAAAACCTATAATAGGCTAAGCACGTATAAGTACGTAGTCTTAATGATACGTAATGACGTAATATACAGTTAATTACAAACACGTATTTACAATATTACACTGATACCTACTAAACCTATGATGAAGGATACATATTCGTACTACAGGTACGTATAGGCTTATGGATACGCACTTCTGATTATAGACACGTATTCTGAATTCTGATAGGCAGGCATGACCTCTGAGAGCTGAGGCCTGTACGTAAGAACGAACAGTCTATTTTTCTTTTATGTCTATGGACATGTAAGAAACATGAGGCTCTTTTACCGTCAAGCTTGAATCAGATGGCGCCAGGGCACGTCGCGGCTGTCATGGCCGTCTCACTCACACAACATTACTTTTCAGTATTGTATGTACATAGGAAAGTAAAGTGTAGTGGTAAAGCGCTATATTTGAAATTTTGAAATGAATAAGGAAGACAAGAAAGAATATTATGGGAGCTTAAAAGTTTCAGAATTGAAAAAGCTTTTAAAAGGGAAAGGAGCAAGAGTCAGTGGAAGAAAAGCAGAACTCGTGGAGGCAAAGTGGTCGAGGCATAAGCCATGACTTGGGAGCGGCAAAAATGTTGGTCTCCCAATTGCTTCGAGCCACTTTTTTTTTATCACACTATCAGAAGGAAATTTAAATTTCACTTTCTTATCGCAGGATATTACACTGCACTTCATTTTTCCTACTATCTTTAAACGTAAATGCAAACAAAAATTGTCTGCAAACAACAGCAATCATTTACAAAGGTTATGTCTTCTGCTTTGCTCATTACACAGATAGGCTCACGAACACAATACACAACTGTAAATTTGACGGTGTGTAAGTGCGACGGCCATAACAGCCGCGACGTGCTCTGGCGCCATCTGATTCAAGCTTGACGGTAAAAGAGCCTCATAGACTGCTCGTTCTTATATACGGCCATAGACACATAAGAAATATTCTTATATTATATTCCTATGTGTATCAGTGTATGGCTATGGCGCAGTCGGCGCTGAAACAGAAGTAGAAGCAGACACAATCAGTGTTGGGTGAGGAGGATAAGATTGTGCATTTTTATCACTAGGACCTATATATAGCTACAGATCCTAGTGAGAAAAATGCAAAAGCTGAATAGGAGGGGGGAGGAGGCCAGTGGTTCTCCACAATTGTGACTGGCAAACTTGTGGGAAATTCAAATATGCAATGTATTGCAAGGCGCAAATACCCAGATAACTCGACACAATTACATGCACAAAAACTTAATAAACTAATCCCAAGCCATTTAACCCAATAACCCAATGGGCCAATAAGCAGCCTCATGAGTTTGAATAAATAATAAAATTTATTAATTAACAAATTAAGCGCCAATCCCCACACAACCAGGGGAACTTACTGGTTGCTTTAATTATTTATGATTAATAAAATAATACCGCAAGCGCCTATCCCCACACAACCAGGGGAACTTACTGGTTGCTTCAATTATTTGTGATTAATAAAATAATACCGCAAGCGCCTATCCCCACACAACCAGAGGAGCTTACTGGTCGCTTACTTAAATTACTATAAATAAAATAATAACGCAAGCGCCTATCCCCACACGACCCAAGGCACTTACTGGTTGCTTTAATTATTTATGATTAATAAAATAATACCGCAAGCGCCTATCCCCACACAACCAGAGGAGCTAACTGGTTGCTTTAATTATTTACAATTAATAGAATAATACCGCAAGCACCTATACCCGGACAACCAGGGGCACTTACTGGTTGCTTTAATCATTTATGATTAATAGAATAATACCGCAAGCGACTATTCCCACAAAAATGAGGGAAGCTTACTGGTTGCTTTAATTATTTATGATTAATAAAATAATACCACGAGCGCCTATCCCCACACAACCAGGGGCACTTACTGGTTGCTTTAATTATTTATTATTAATAAAATAATACCGCAAGCTTCTATCCCCNGATAGGTGCTTGCGGTATTATTCTATAAATTATAAATAATTAAAGCAACCATTAAGCTCCCCCGGTTGTGTGGGGATAGGCCCTTGCGGTATTATTTTACTAATCATAAATAATGAAAGCATTCAGTTAGTGCCTTGAGTCCTGTGGTAATTGGCGCTAGCTCTGTTAATTAATAAATTTTATTATTTATTTAAACTCATGAGGCTGCTTATTGGCCCATTGGGTTATTGGGTTAAATGGCTTGGGATTAGTTTATTAATTTATTGTGCATGTAATTCTGTCGAGTTATCTGGGTATTTGCGTCTTGCAATAAATTGCATATTTGATTTTCCCACAAGTTTGCTAGTCACATTCGGGGAGAACCACTGGCCTCCTCCCTTCTCCTATTCAGCTTTTGCATTTTTCTCACTAGGATCTGTAGCTATATATAGGTCCTAGTTATAAAAATGCAAAATCATATCCTTCTCACCCAACACTGGACACAACATCGCCTTTAGCATAGTGTGAGAGAGACAGATACCCACGTTAGATCCCGATAAGAAATGACCACTTGTAGACTGGGCTCAAACAGTGATGAACCGGGAAAAATTATTCGCACCCAATTTTTTTGTGATTTATTGTTCAGAATATAGTAATGTACCTGAAAGTTCATCTTGCCACCCAAGAATGTAGTCAGGTATTGTTTAAACAATTTTTTTGTAAACAATATTGTCAAAGTTTTTTTTTTGACCTGAAAAAAATATTCTTAGATTCTTTGGCACATTTAGAACAAAAAACCAATCAGAATGTATATACCTAAACCCCTTATTTCTAAAGTAAAAAATTCTCAAAGTTTGAAAAAGTGCATTATTTCTGATTTTCAGAGCTCCACAAAAGTGCTAAATAAACTCATTTTCATACGTGACAATACATGATAATAAACTGTAAGCCTTTCTCTACAATTTCCAAAAAAGAAAATATCGAAAAGTTTAGTGGCAACATTGTTTTTTGCAATAAACGTTCAGGGCCTTTCAGTGCGCGCTCCCGCGTGAGTGTACCTACATGTATATCCATATATGCTCACTTCACGCTTAGCCACGAAATGTATATATATTATTAAATTTAGTTATACACTATTTTACATTACAAAAAATTTTTTTCCATCGCCTCATATCTCGGTTCTCGATGAATGGGAAGCGTTAGTTTAAATAGTCGAAAGGTTGGAAATTGCTTCTACTGCAATGTTACAAAGTATCATCCGGTTATTTTGCTGATGCTACAATCACGCATCATTGCTCTAACTATTACTACTGTTAGTACAGTAGTTATATGTCATTATACACATATACATGCACCCTGATCAGGCCCTGATCATAGCCTGCGGTCTTCCTCATTACACCGCGTGACAAACTCCACATTTTAGCCTGCCCAGGCCCAGGCCCTGGCATCGATGTAATGCTTGCCTGGCCAGGCCCTGGTCTTAGCCTTTGGATCACATTCTCGTCGGGATGTTGTGTGTCTCCTTCTACTTGTGCTTCAGCGCCGTACATAAGAACGAGCAGTCTACACATCTTATATGTCTATGTTCACCTAGAAATCTTATAAGCGTCAATGTTCTTGTTCTGGTGTCAACGTGAAAGTTTTAAGTTAATGTTACATTATTTTGATTTACGACTTTTCTTCTACAAAACAATGTCTTGATGTATCGTATGCTTGTAATAACGCTTTTAGTTTCCTTGAAGTGCTCATGCTATTCACTGTAGTAATTCTTTGTTGTAAGCTTATTTTTTAGATAAAAGATTTACTTATTAATTTTTATAATAATGAGCATATTCTCTTTGACTTATAACTTTTGATGTTATATTTTTACAGGAATCGTAAAAGGCAGTTGTTAGCAGTGAAAAAAGCATAGCTGTTAAAGTACTAATAACATTGAGTAATTTTTTTTTCTCTTGTAATATGATGCCTCAAATAGATTCATTTTTTTATGTTAGGTTGTGTTGTACAAGTATGTATATTTATGTTTAGTATTTGGCGAAAAAAATTATTTTCATGCCATGGATTTCCAAACTAGTAGTGGTGATCATCTAAGATTCAAGAACGAGGAGTTTGATGTATCTTACAGAAAAATGCTAGGATCTGCAGGTGAATCAAGTAAAGAAGTCACAGAATGTAATGAAAAAGAGTTCATTGAAGCAAATCAATTAAGATATAGTAAAAATATGTCACTATCATCAAAAAAAAAACCAGGCATATTTCAAACTGTTGGTAAGGATAATAAATCATTAACTTAATAAATCTAATATTTAACTTATTGACAGTCAAGCTTTCACTGGAGTTACAGTTGATGACATCGAGGAGTTCAGTGGTTTTGATTGCAATGATATAGAAAGTTTTTACCATGACAGCAAAATTTTAAATAAATTGTTAGGTGAGTTTTTTTATTTTATCAATTTCACTGGATTCTCAATAATATTTTAAAGTATTTTTTTTTCTTTGTTTCAATATGATGTATAAATTTTGGTGAAAATTCATAAAATTAACATTTTCCTTTTTTCAGTGCTGCACAGGTGTTATAAGCATTATTTTTCTGAAAGTAAAAGCTATGAAAGTAGTATGCTTAAATTTTTTTTTTACGTAAGCATTCCTTGTAGAACATACCGTTTTTAGTAAACAGTAAAAACTCTATCATAACATTGAAAAGGTTTCAAAATTGCAGCCAAAACAGTTTATGTAGGATAGGTAGATATGAAATAGAAGTTCACAATTTATAATTCCCTGTCTCAAGTTGTTTTTTGTCATGTATAACGTGACCATTTTTTTTTAATGTTAAAACGGGACACCTAATCTGAATTGTGCTAGTCTTCGTCATATACGTTTTTTAGAAGACAAATTTGGAAAAATTAGTATACGTATATATAATATTTATTGTTAGTTTATTGTAATTGGCATGTATAGTGCACTGGACATAGTATGTATATTTTGATAAAAACACACCTCTAGACCATCGATCGAAAAAACGACATATATGGATGTTATAAAAATAATAACAGGAGTTGTATTTTAAGAGCGTTTATATAAGAAAATATAAAAAATAACGTACAACAGCCAAAAATATTAAGCAGTCCTATTAAAAAGTAAACAACATTAAATTTTTTGGTACTTGTCAGACGAACAAATTTTTTTTAATAGAGATGATTTTAAAAGATTCTAAAATTCTTGACAACTTTTAGTAAAATTCAGTTTCGTTATCATTAACATGGCTTTAAGAACAGACACTTGTAGTTGAATTTTTTCTGACGTCCATAGTTTTTTCACTAAAGGAAAAACTCTACTGGTGCGTTTGTTCCAGGCAGACACAAAATATAGTCAACTAAAATGCTTATATTGGTGTGGCTTAGATTATGAGTGAAAAAATGTGTGAATACTTCTACCCAACGGTTGTCAGTTGATACATTTTGTTCATTTCAGTCAGACATTTTTTGAGATGGTACGAAAGTAGATAATACTGCAAATTTGTCAAATAATACTTGATCCTCGTTTTCATTAAAATATTCTTTTTCAATCAAAACATCTATTGATTTTTGAACATCTTCCCACTTAAGCACTTTTCTCAAATTTTCCCAATAAAATACATTTAACTTTTTATTAGATACAGTCCATTTATTTAAATACTCATAGCTTGTTTTGTAAGATTCTACAGCTGTAGTTTTAACAGATTTTTCGTCAATAATGTCCCTCAAATTTTTTAACAAAGTACGAACTGAGTGTGGCAAAAACTGAGCATTTTGTTTTTGAACCAAACTCGCTTTTAGTTGGTTTATCTCATTTGCTGTTTCAACTGCCGAAATATTTTAACCTTTGATATTTAATACAGCTCGATGAAAGCTCGTCGACTGAGCATGCAAAAATATAAGCCATAGCTCTGATCTAGGGTCTTCAAAAAATTTTTTAACACAACTGGACATTTTTCATTCAATACTTAAAAAATACTTTTTTAGTGGTTCATACATTTTTAAAATTCTTTCGAGGGCAAGCATAAGGGCAAGCCATCTAGTGTTACTGTAACCCTGTAATTTTTTATATTCAGTGTCTGCTTCACAGAAAAATTCCTTCAGCCCTCTTCTCAAACTGTATAAACATAATAAAACATAAATTTTCACAATTATACATTCTACATCTACAGATAAACCATCTGCAGCTGATTTGATAGCATTGTTTATATGCACTCTGCACCCTATACCTATTAAAGGCTTTTAAAAGGATGATTTTAATTTAGCAAATACGTTATTGACACCTCGTCTAGCTTTGCCTCCAAAATTATAGTTAGTGTTATTACCACAAAATGCCACAACTTTTGAAGATAATTTATTTTCTGTCAATACTCGAATCAAGTAATCAACAATAGTATCATAACTTTCATCGGGCTGACCTAGGAAATCCAAGATTTTTATTGTATTCCTTCATATAGTTTGAAATACCGTACTATAATTGGAAAAATCTTTGTGCTACCGTGATTTAATGCATCGGTAGAAATTGTTCTGCAGTGAGATTTGTCAAGATCGACTTTCAACTGTTTTATTGCTGCACATGATAAAAAGTTAATGACGATAGATTCTGTTTTCGTTCGTGCGCATTTAAATTTTTGTTCGAAACATGTTTGAATCAACTTTGAAGCACAATCATTAGATCGAAAGCTGTGATTCTCTCGTATTGTATGGTAAGCCTACACGCTTTCTGCTGCAGCAATATCCAAATCATGTCGAGTTGGCACATCTGAATTCTTAAAGAAATTTAACATAGACAAACTTGAAGCAGCTGCCCGATCAGCATTTTTATGTTTTTCTGATTTTAAATGTTGTTCTATATCACAAGCCTTGCCATGAGAAACCCTAAATTCTGCGCAACACTTTTCGCAGCTTACATCCGAGGGGTCGATTTTTTTCTTTATAAATGGGTACTTTGCTTGTAATTTATCTTTAAACGTACACTTACGCTTTGGCATTGTAACGGCACACCCCGAATACTTTAAATTGTTTATCACAGGCAATTTAAACACTTGCAATTTAACAACAATATTTTATTTATTTTACTTCACGTATATCGGTATACATTACTAGCAAACAATAATATGCGTATCCTTCATAACAATCATTTACAAACTTAAGACTGTTTTGATATAAATCAAAAGTTTGAATTCGAGGAAATATAGAATCTAGAGACAAGATATACATTAAAAGTTTGACTTCCAATAAAGATTAAATCTACAGAGTTGAAAGTTTCAGTTCAAAAAAATGTAGAATCCAAAAACAAAAGGTAAATTAATAGTTTAAGTTTCGAAAAACATTAAATTTAGAAAAACGAACTTGCACATTTTTTTGAAAAACGGGACGTTAACGAGACATCATTAGGAAAACGGGACAAATCGGTTTCCCCAGGTATTCGTCGGGGACACCGGTACGGCACCCCAAGGAACGGGACAGTCCCGGTCAAAACAGGACGTATGGTCACGTTAGTCATGTATCAAGAAGGTTTGAGCATGCCTATGTATGTGTGATTATATTATTGCGATGTTACGTCTGAACTTCTGAGTAAACGGCAAAACTCATAGATATGTTGTATAAATAAACAAATTTAATTTTTAATATAAGACGTCCAGTGACAATTGGTTAATAATGAAAATAACGTCCAATGGTGGTACTGTCAAATTTTGTATTTATTAAAAAACAAAACGACGTTTCGGCCGTTTGGACAATGTCCCGGCCCTCATCATGTACAAAAATCTATGAGTAATAAAAATTTGATAAATACAATAAACGCAAATTAAGTAAAGTGTATAATATACCTCTGACTTTTACGAAGGGTATGTAAAATCTTAATGTAGTCGATGTACATGATTTGAGGGCCCCTTTCATTTATGGTATTAGGAAAACATGATCTGTTTACGTATAATGTCTCACAAGGAACTGCTTGCGATTCTTATTTGATTGTATTGTGTGCGTATGTTATGTCATTTGTATATGTGCAGGGTATAAAAGCAACAAAATTTAAAACTCTGACTACATTACAATTTTACATCCCCTTCGTAAGAGTCAGAGGCATATTATACACTACTTGTCTCTACTTACTAACTAAACTACTATTTGTCTCTTTATCTCATGTCCTTGTAATAGTATGGTAGAATTAGCTAAAAATCGTAGCGATATCCCGAAAATTCTCACTAGTTCGAAAAAGTATAGGGTAACAGTTTATATGTATTTTAACAAATTGACACAGTATGTAACTAGTAGAAATGTCAGCAAGAGCCCCCTAAAAAAATGGAAAAAACGACTAAAACATGTGTTTTTCGTCTAGAAGAAAACCGAAAAAGCGTAAATAAAAAAGTGTTGTGTAAAAAAGATGACCAGTTTTTAGACGAACAAAATAAGCCGTGTCAAGTTCAAATCGGTTTAGCCGTTTTTTCGCAAATTGCTGAAAACTGCCAGTTTGAGCCATTTTTTTGAAATTCAATCACTCGCATTCTATACAATATTTAGAGCTGAAATTTAAACACAAGACAGATATCATAGCTCTTATAGTACACAAACTTTCAGCTTAATCGGTTTTAAAGTTTTCGCTATTCGCAGCAAAGACCGGAATAAGGTCCTCCGGAAAAATGTCCATAAAAAAGTTGTTAGCCAACATAGGTACATTTTTTAAACCTAGTTTGCTTTGTCTATATTTATTTAATGAATACCTACAATGCCATTCATTTTTACCAATTAGAAGTCTCTGAAAAATAAATTGCAAAAAAACGGCTTTTTGCTCTGCGGTCAGTGGAATTGGTAGCTCACGCCCACTTTCGCATGCATGTTTTGATCGAGCGCGTTCAAAACGAATAAGTGCTTTTTTTGCAATAAATTTTATAGATACTTTTAATTGGTAAAAATGAATGGCATTTTAGGTACCTGTAGAGTAAATATAGACAAAGTTAATGAATTTCGAAAAAATGTCTCAAAATGGCCGTTTTTTGCGATTTGAGAAAAACGACTAAACCTATTTGACTTAAGGTAGCTCCCTTGTCAATATATATATATATATATATATATATATATATATTCGAGATTTGACTGTCATATAACCTCGAGCAAACATGACCGACTGCAGCAGACGACCGACGAGGCTATAATATATATTCCACAATGCTACGAAGTATACTTGGTACATAATCGTCAAACTAATTTTTACTCTTTTTCTTCACAAATATCTCATGAAAACGTCGGATTAACCTCATTTTGCTCAACGGCATTGGAAAGAAGAAGGATTTTTCTACAAGTATGTTATTGTGTGACTTTGATGCAATTTCAATTCTTTAAGATAAATGCACGCGTAACTCATTGTCTAATGCTCTTCCATAAGACCCCATATTCGTTATAGAAACTTTAAGTTACG